CAACCAACTTGTCCACAGTATCCACGCAGCCACCTTGTCTAGACTAAACAGAAAGAAGGATTGAGGGGGGAAGGTAATGCCGGCCAGCACTCAAAAATGAGAAAAAGGGGACAGAAGAATGAAAAGTTGAAACTTATGTTTCTTGTTTGACTCCTCAGCTCCAACCATTCTGCCTCCGATCCCTAAACACACATGAAACACCAAAACTCATTTTCAAATCTCAGCCTTAGGAGGGGGGGGGGTACTGGCGCCAGTCGGGGATGTTACGAGAGAATAATTAAAAGAATTAAAAGAGTTATTGTAAGAAAGTAATGATTGAATACTTCAATTAATCAATTTGAAAATGATGTTTCGGTGTTTTCTGGAAAAAATATAATTTTCCGAAAAAATCTCTGAAAGGATCACCTGTGTGCTCAGAGACCACATACCCTCACTCAAGGAACCTGGAGATCCTGGAATCGGGAGAATCACAGAGAGAATCGTAGACTCGGACATATAACAGAAAAGGAAACGAAGAAGATGAGAATACTATCTCAGATGCATGGTTGAGAGGACAGGTTAACCTATTCTACCGCAAATCTCAGGAAATTCAAACCACAAGGTCTATGTGTCCATATTTGTCATCACCTGCTGGCTCTGAGATCAACCATCGATTGCTCAGAAGTACTGTTAATCATGTTTCTTCGTGATCAGTTCTGTAGTTTGTGGGAAAATCGTCTTTACCCTTGTCATCTCACAGTGGAGAGAACTGGAGGTCGTGCATGCATGACAGTTCATCTTCCAAATTCAGGAGAGTCTCTCGATCCAAAATCTGTTTTTTTGTTTTTCTTAAAATTTCTTTTAACTTCATGTACTAGATTTTCAAGATCACAAGCAATCCCCTAATTAAGGTATGGTTGACTCATTGATAATTTATCTCATTCATCTGCGCTCTAATGATAACTGATATACGTGATTTTATGTACTGTAGTTGAACATGGCTTTTTCGCGTCATCCACCTCCATGTTTTCCAAATTGATTTGATTATGCTAATTTTTTTTCTCTTCCTTGTTTTATTTTTCTGATCAAGAGAGACAGAGGGAGAAAGAGAGGAAGAGTGTTTCAATTCAGGAGTTCGTAACTTTGAGATTACAGCGGGTACAAACTGCCATGGAAATCACAGATCAACCAGGCGAGATATTGCCTGTTCAGAGAAAAGTGTTGTTTTGCTGATTTTAAATACAATCCGATTTCACGCTCTTGTTCATTCTCAGGTATTGTTTCTGTGAGATGGAGCTCTTCATTCTCTTGCTGCGTTGCTTGTCTGTTCTTGGGGAATCCACACTAGGCCTCTTAACATATATGTTCGTTCGTGTCCCTACCAAGCTGAGTGGTCTTTTTCGTTTTGCTCTTATTGGAAACGGTTTCACGTAGGATATACAAGATGCGACAGCCAGTTCACTACATGAGCATGTTTCAGAACATGTTTGGCTCAAATATGTCTGTCCCTTGGTTTACACCTACCTTCATGTTGCCCTGTTTAGCTCTCTATCCTAATGGTATCTTACTTCACCTCGGGTTGAGTCCTCACTGGCAATTCTTCATTCAGATTTATATATTTGCTAGTAAACGTCCTTCTGCTTGATTTACCTTACCTCATGTTCTGCAGTGGGTGCTTGGTGTATCTCACTCATATGCCTTCTCAGAGCTATTACCGTTACCGTCAGTCTGCCTAAACAACTGAAGACAGGGATTATCGTTGTCTTCATGTTCTTTAGCATCGCTTTTTTTTCGGTTTGTTTTTGGTTGCATTTGATTATGCTAATGATCACGAAAGATGAAGATCGGCTGTTGTGTTAGGAGATCTGTTTCCTATTTCTAACTTATGATAGCCATATATCAGTTTGAAGAAATTCAACAACAATCCTCGACCGGAGATATTTATGACCAAAACCATAGTTGTGAATATAGATGTGGATAACTATACAACTACTATTCTATTTGTACTTGGAGTATGCATATTCACGGCATTGTGTGTTTCAACTACATTCTATCTGATATGGAGTTTGAAGCGTCGTGCTGTTTCTACAGAATCAGTCAAAGCATCGGAAGACCAACGCAAACTCACAATTAATATTCTGAGTGCGAGCTTTTAGATAAAGCAAGTTATGTACGACCTTCCAGACTTTCTTCCAATTATCTGGCATCAGCTTTCCTCCCATGGTACTTCTGTTTTGTGTTATCAATTCTGTCCCTTCATGGTTCACAATAGGTTTCAGTCCTGCCTATGATAGTTTTTGTCCTGTTGAGCATCAATCCTTTGATAGCATGCATCATAATGCTCAGACTCGTCCCTGCTTATAGAGAACGTTTAAGCACAATGTGTTCCTCAGGTAGTCTGCTCGTGAGCTAGAGAACATCCTCTCAATCCGTCTGAAGATATATAAATGTGTTCCCATTGGTTCATTCGGAAAGATTCCTGCAAATTCGTGTTGAGTCTGGTGTCATTAGACATATGCATGCCAAATGGGTGAGGTAAAAAACGTAACGTAAGGGTGATCACCGCCGCAACGCTCCTACTTCTATCTATAAGCCCACATTCGAAAAAAAGGAATGTATTTTTTGCAACAAGCACAAGGACTTGAACATATGCCGTCTATACCCTGCCGAGAAAAGAGCTCGTGTTCGCCGGGATGCAAGAGATGCCATGACCCAATAATTTACACTATGATCTGTCCCTGCAGGAATTTGTCAAATGACAGAAACAGACGAGGAATTAAAAGAAAGACCGCAGATAAAATAGATAAACCCTAGGTTTTGCTGGTATATGTATCGTGTTAAGCTAAGTTTGTTTTGGTTATGTATCGTGTTAAGTTAACTTTCTGATGGTTGGACTCTTCTTCCTTGTTCCTT